TTAAACGAAGAAATCAACTGCTGCTTATGATGGAGTATTTTAAATAATATAAATATTCAGTAAATTGTATATTTCATACGTCCTGATGTATTTTGCACTATATTATTAAGTAGTTTTGTAAAATGTTACAGGCTTACAGTTAATGTTTTTTTTAAAGCAAACACAGTACCGTCATAATGCGGGGAAAGAGGTACGGTCAGTAGGCCTATTTGATGACAACATTTAGCCGCGACACCATGACAAAACCTTGTAAAATTTACTGTCAAAACTAAGTTGTATCCAGCGAAAATAATGAAAGATTAGTGACACCCCACCGAAAATGCTAAATTGTTGGGGATGATGGGGTGACACCTTTAGTAAACACGTAGTGTAACACCCAGAGGCATAGCAAGGAAGGGGCGGGGCGGGGGATGCGGACCGCACCGGGTGACACCATTGGGGGGGTGACAACAAGGCAAAAAATTGCAAAATGTACTGAAGAAAAATGCCCTTTTTGCCATTTCCTTTAATGATTATTTAAAGCTAAATAGACTTCTAAGTACATATTGACAATTATTACAACAAGGTTGAGGTGACACCTTGACGTGAATGTGCTAAATATAAAGAAAAATGCTACATCCAACTGTATTATTAACAGAATATAGATAAGCATTGTTACTATTAAGTCTGTAGGCCGACATACAAACATACAAAGTGAGCCCCCCACCCCCGAAGAGATGTCTGGAAGAAACTCTCATTATTACGCATGGGCCCTGTTCGACACCCCCCCCCCCCTCCCTACTGAATCCTACTACGTATTGTAAAGTAATAAAGGACTGGGGGGAGGGGCTTTTTGGAACTTTTAATTATTTCTACAATAGAAAAGAAACTGGATTTTCATTTTCTTCTTAAAATTATTTATATAAAACAAATATTAAAATCTCAATGTAAAAGTTTTATTTTTTAGAGGAAAAAGATCCCCGTAAGTGCCTTGGGCCCTTATGCCTTGCTTTCGCTAGCTTTACAGTAGCTACGCCACTGGCTTGGGAGTTAATTAAACTTAAATGTTCATTTGTACTTATGTTAAAGTAATAAATGCTTGTTTAAATTAAAAATATAGATACACAGCCCCCTGTGTTTACCGATGGATGCCCAGCCAGCGTTGTGCACGAAGCAGCAAGTTTAGGATCACCTACATACGTGAACTACAACCTACCTAATGTTGCTGATAATTCTAAAGAGAATATTACATTACATGGCAATCCGATCTCGGGATCACAATTTGACATCGGGACAACAACAGTCACTGTAATCGCAACAGATCGAGAAGGAAACTTTGCAAATTGTACCTTCAATATCACTGTCATACGTAAGCTGTTTTTAGTAAACATATTACAGTTAATATTGATGGAGGGTTTAATTATATAGTAAAAAATAAAAACAAATAAATTATATTGTAAACTATTCTAAATCTGTCATATATTTCATTTTATTGCCATCTTAGCAACCACATGTGAAGCCCCAAACATAGACACATCCGGCAAAGTCCTCATCGACTACAACTGTCCCAACCAATACGTGTATGGGGCCAGCTGTCTCCTCAACTGTACAGATGGTAACCCAATCAATGGTCCCAGCTCCATCAAATGTGACAAGCTGTATACTGGACTTCAGTGGGTGTGGCCAGGGAATGTCAAGCCATATTGTAATGGTATTAAACTTGTAATAATATTTTAGTTGAATTACACATTTTTAAAATAATTATACCCCTTAAAGAGAATGTTTATTTCAGTACAATATTTTATATAAACAGTCCTTCGATGGTATAATTTTTAATTCTCTTAAGCTAACTAAATAATTTCTTTACCAACTAGTGAATACTCATCAATACTTTCCATGACTTATAGAATCAGATAGTCATAATTTAATTTAATTGATTTAAAGCATTTAAATTCATTATTCAGCACAAGTTTGCAAAAAACTAGATGCACCAGAGAATGGCGCACTTTCATGCGATAGTTATATTGTTGGGACAGAGTTGTGTACCTTAATATGCAACATCAATTTCACTTACCCATCATCGGCCCCAAATGACTATTCCTGCTCAAAAGGAACTTGGAGTCCGTATGATCATATCCCAGGATGTACAGGTCGAGTACCAAAAAATGAAATATATTTTATGTATATAATTTTTAATCATTGCTATAAATAGTCTATGGCAGTATACTACCACAGCATTTATGTTTGTCGTTGATAAAACGAAAGATTACATATTCCTACATATTTCCTTATAACTTTTTATACTTCTGTGTATTTTTCATTACGTTCCATAATGATAAGTTCATCATACATTTACTATTAAATCTATTTCTATAGCCTATAAATTTTAGGTGTGTTTTATTGGATAGAAGTAGTATTAAACATTTTAAATTTATTATAATTAAACATTATTTTTGTGTATCTAGAAAGGTGTCCTATGATTATAATAAAACTAAACATTTTAAAATATTAATTTTCAGTTCGACGTCAGACTGGCGATGTTCTGACGAAGCCTGTATTCTATTACTTTTCTGGTGCCTGTAGTTCAAACAACAGTGAAATAAAAGATAATTTCCTGCATATCTTGAATGGCACAGTGTTTTCAGATGCATGTGGTGATGATGGCTGCAAGGTAGACACGGTGGAGGTGACGTGTGGAGCAGTAACTCAACAAAGAAGGAAAAAAAATGTCAACTCTTTCAAATACTCAGTAATTTCAAATACAGCTTTTTTTCTTTGTTTTTTTTTTCGATAAAATTTTAATATTGCTCCCCATAACTTTTATTTCTTAATTCGGTACTAATACCTTTTATCTATCTAACCCGAACATTTCGGACTTCTACACTCTACGGTTATCCGTTTATTGCGATGTGAAACATGGTACCCCCCCCCCCCCCCCCGGCAAGTTTTCACACTACTACGCGGACAGCGGCTATCTTCGAGCGGGTATTACATCATTTATTGCCCGCGAGGCACCATAGACTTTACAGCAATCTAAGGGCCAAGCACTCGTGTACCCGCTAGTGTAGTGACCTTTTCTTTTGTTCTAAAAATAAGTGGGATAGAAGTTGTTTTCTACAAAGTAAAATTTTATATCAAACTCCATATAAGGGCATGCGCGTAAAATTATGAATGGGAAGAGATTCATTAATACGCTTGACCAATCATATTATAGTACAGTAAATCAAAATAATTCACGATATGTTGCAACTAACCACGTGTGCTAGGAAGCCATCTTGTTTCTAGATAAACAAAACAATCGCCTGTCTTTGTTTGTTTACTTTATTTGACATTACTCTTCTATTTGTTGTTTTAAAGTTCTACAACATTATTAAGTTTAATAATTGAAACTTTGCCTAGAAATATACTGTTGATTATCACTGGAACAATATCAAGCACTGTTTCGTATGCTTTATACTAAGCTGAAACAATGCGTCATGGACATGTCTATCAGTTTGAAGAATGTACTGTCCATCCCCTTTAGCCCCCTCATCCCCTTCTCGCCATTCAACCAACAGCCGGTTTATAATCTTGTTACGGTTTATAATCTTGTGATAGGCTTAAACGTGTTCATCAGACTTTAAATCGGACTGTATACGACACATGTGTTAATGTGTATGCCCATCTCTCCGTATAGGGTGTGCTAGCAACGAATGGAAATACTAGATGGGATAGCTGATAAGCATTCACTTAGGCCCTGTACTTGACCCTATCTACACAGACGTGTTATTCACGGTTGAATGAACATGAGTAATCTATGGCTCATCGGTTCCTCGCGCACTATCCAGCGGTGGGGTGGGGTGGAGGGGCGTGTCTAGCCTCAAGCATTGTACCCAGTGTTGTGTTGTAGGCTATTATCATATAATCAATAAACGTGTGTAAGCTACAATTTATGTAGGGAAAGACATTGTATTAAAGTGAGTAGACAGGCTAACAAAAAAAACTTGATCTGCTTTGATGATAGCTGTTCTGAGAATACCGCTCGATTAATAGGATGTGTAATACTTAATAGTCATAAATTCATTACCTGTTGTATACATATTTTCTGCTTACATAGAAAAATCTGTCTAAAACTTACAACATAAATCAAAGCGTATTTTATTAATCAAATGGTTCTTCCATATATAACAATACGTTTTTAGCGCAATTTCCATACTGACAATTGCGATTATTAATTCGTTCTGAATGGATGCGTGTCCGCAGCTTTAAGTCGTATCTCCTCCTCAACAAAGCAATATCGAGGACTAGTTCCAAAGCAAATATTTTAAGCAAGTTCCGAGGATGATTGTGGGCCAAAGAAATTCCCGGAATTCCTTCCTGGATTTCCCGGAAAAGCCAAAAAACCTCGAAAATAATGCAGTTTTTGGCCCATATCTCGGCAACCAGACCACTTAGCGACTTGAAACATTTACCAATCGATCTCTGCCATAATTTAGAACAATATTGCAGAAGAAAGTTTTCAAAAATATCCTTTCGTTCGGTCACAAAAAATTAATTAAGGAAATTGCGCTTAAATTGTCACTAGACTTTTTGTTAATTTGTTTTTCTGTTTTCTATAAGAAAACGCACAGTGCCTTTTTATTACGCTCTTCTTTTCATGTTTTCCCAACTTTGCATTTTTGGAACCCTTTGTGATTCAAGACCAGTGGCGTAGCGAGGGCGGGGTCGGGGGTGCGGACCGCACCAGGTGACACCAAGGAAAAAATTGCAAAATGTACAGACTATAGATAAACATCGTTACTATTAAATCTGCTTATACACATATACATGTACCAGTATGTGACATATATTTAAATTATACACACACACATATATATATATATATATATATATATATATATATATATATATATATATATGAATGTGTGTATGAGTATTGTATTATATATATATATATATATATATATATATATATATATATATATATATATATATATATATATATATATATATATATATATATATATATCTTTTAGATAACTGCTGTAATAAGCTTGGGAAAATACAAAGATCACGGAAGTAAAAGTACAACTCTTGCATTTTATGAACGTGTTGTAAGCAACATAAACAATCGAATTAATTTGGTTGCTGATTCTGGAAAATTTGACATGCCTATCGGAAATCTTGAGAATTTTAAATACGGAGAAAGCACATTCACGTGCAATGATGGGGAATCCTTTGTGTACAGCACGATGTCCTGTGGTATGCTTTTGAATATAAAAGTTTTGCGATGTGGCTAATGACTATTGTATCTCTGTCGTCCATTCTCTGTCCCTCTTTCTATATAATTTAAAGAATTCAGTTCATTTTCATAAAAGAAATGTGAGAGTTTAAAGTATTTTGCTGTATTACATTTGATATTCATTCTAAGCTGGCTGTGGCCCTGGGTTTACCTACAACAACTCAACAAAAAAATGTGACACCTGCCCTCAAGGGACTTACCAGGACCAGGACATATCTTTCACGTGCACTAAATGTCCGGACGGTACAACAACCAGAAAAAATATGTCTACATCTATAACTGATTGTCAGGGTGAGCCATTCAATTTTTGTAGCCTAAAATTAAATAAAGGACACAAGTACATTCATCGATTTGTCTGGTAAAGAGAGCTACAGTTAATAGAAATATTGAATATGTCCACCCCGACATATATATATGTATATATATATGTATATATATATGTATATATATATGTATATATATATATATATATATATATATATATATATATATATATATATATATATATATATATATATATATATATATATATATATATAAAATATGTCGTAATTAATATTTGTAAAGTATTGGAGCTTTTAAATGGACGTTGCTGATTGACAGCACGTCTATCTAGAAAGGAAAAAAAGTCGATGGATGTGTATTGTTGAAATTACTGGCCTTATTTGTGATACTTTAAACATTACGATGATTTTTCTAAACAGATCTTTGCTTACCGGGTTCTGTTTCAAACACTGGATTCCAAAACTGCACGCCCTGTCCAGTAGGCAAATTTGCATCCCAATATGGCATGAAGGAATGCCAACTTTGTCCTTACGGAATGTCAACAATGACTCCAGGCGCATCGTCCATTCAAATTTGTCTATGTAAATGAAAGAAAATTCATAAAGAACTTTTTAATAACAAGATTTTATATAATGAAGCACTAAAAACAAGAAAATAAATGTTTTTTTTAAACACATAATAATACACTGCTAGTTAAATAAATATAAAGAAAAGCGTGGGTCTCTTCCTAAATATTAGAAAAGGTAACCGATTGAAAATACAGTGATCCAAGCAAATTTAGTAAACAATTGAAAAAAAAAAATGTTTCTAGCATTTAGTAGTATGGCATGGGATTGGCAATAACAATTAACTTGAAATTTTTTTTTGTTTCAAAGTGTCAACTACACAAAAACAAAAATTAGCAACATTATGCTTTAAATATAAAACAGGCAAAAAAAACTTTTTAATTTCATTTACTTTAAATATTTAAATAATCTTAAAGACAATTTTTTTTATTTGAATATTTGCTTCCATATTTTAGTTAAGCTAAGGATTATGAATTATTGATTTTCGTAAATCTTCAACAGTTACCGATTTTAGAATAAATGAAAATACTTCTAGACCAGCGATTCAAATTTCTGACGCAGTTCCGAAAAAATTCACTTTTATGGCTTGGATCTCAGAAGTTTCGTCCTTTCAGACGTCGACATTTATATTTTCTATACAATCACCATCTGACAACTCAGCTGCTTTGGTTTTAGACACAATCAGTCTACACATAGAGCGTAATGCCGATGTAACTCTCAGAAAACTTAGGTAATAGAAATTTTGAAAAGATTTTATGTAGAATTTTCTTTGCTATTTGTGTCTTGAAATTAATTAAAACATCATTTTCTTAAAATAATATTACTTAGAGAAAAAAACATTAAATACTTACAGATAACAATGTATTTGAAAATGTATAGTCATGTTGTTACATGAATGTTTTTGTCTTGTTGGTTTCATTATTTTCTTTTTGCTACCACGAAATGTCTGACACACCTGCTACACAGAAAATGGAATCACGTTGCTTTGGTATACACGTCACCAAATGTCACGCTGCTTGTCAATGGTCAGCATGTGGAAACTCTAAATGTCCTCCCTGTGTCCGAGTTACACACAAAAGATATTTTTTTCAGAAGCTCATCAAGTATCAAATGTAAGGAGTTTTTTTTAATTGATGTATTTAGTTAATATTTCATTAATTGATGCATTAACGCGAATTTCTTTACACTTCGATATTGAACAAATTTATTCTAATGATATCTAACTGTTCTCTAAATGCCACTATTTTTTCTATTGAATAAAAATCTGATTAAGTAAGGATTAATATCACATAACTTTGTCCCTGTTCTTAGTTTAAAGAAACCGCTCTTTTGAAAATTTGTGGCATTTCTAATGCAAGATTCCACCCCCAAAGATAAAACAAACGAGCTATCATGTACATTGAAATGTTGTAAGAGCTCATTTATTTTCTCATAGCAATATTGGTAAGCGGAATGCAAATGACGAGAACAACCTACACAGAATCCCAGATTAAAGCGTTCAGCAGTTCATGTAGCCGACAGGTAGACAAACACGAGCTAGCGTACAAGCCATGGGAAATCTTAGTAACCTCTCAAATAACTTGCAATGGTAAAATGTTTCTAAACAAAATTAAACATACGTACTAAACGATATAAATATACACATCTTGCATTATTACTGAAGATGAATAAGACAAAGCCTAAGTAAACAGGTAACAAGTTTCAAAATGATAGTTATAAGCTTTTAAACATAACAATATAACGTAGCGACATAGATGTCTCCACTCGTCAGACGTACTTTGACTACACGCTTTGACAAACAATGGTTTAAAGCTCCAAAATACCTTTTTTTTAACTGTTGAAGTGATTTATATATATATATATATATATATATATATATATATATATATATATATATATATATATATATATATATATATATATATATATATATATATATATATATATATATATATATATATATATATATATATATATATATATATATATGTATGTGTATATATATATATATATATATATATATATATATATATATATATATATATATATATATATATACATATATATACAGTAACTGTTCTAAAATGAAGTAATACATGTATTTTTTAGTTCACAAATTTCAGTACGTTGGCAATTTAAATTTATTGCATTAAATACATTCTATTTTTCTCTAAATTGGCTTTACAACATGTATACTTGAAAATATGTTTACTAAACATTGATTTCATCACTATTCTAAAAAATAAAATTCATTAGCTGAAATTCTTACTTGATTCTTTAATACCAGATAAAGACTTATGTACTGATGAGCCGTGTGGACCGTATGGTGTTTGCGTGTCTGGTACCGATACACTGACGTGTATATGTGATGACCCATGGAAAGGAGATCGATGTGAAATCGCCCCCGATTATTGCGTTGGTCATCATTGTGCTAAAGGATCAACTTGCCTAAATCAGCCACATGATAAAGGCTACTCCTGTTTGTGTCCAAATTTCTATAAAGGTGCTTTGTGCAATGAGCCACACTGTGAGTAAAAAATGCATTTACCACACTCATGTTTGGAACTTGATAATTTCCATACCTACTTGTTTTACTGATATTTTCTTTTCTAAAGAAAATACCATAAATGTGACTGTATGGTCGAGTTAATAACTACAAACGGTAACGTTTAGTGAGTCCGAATCAGGGCGAGTAACGACGGCTTCTACTATATTTATTCTTCTGTTCAATTTATTCGATATATATATATATATATATATATATATATATATATATATATATATATATATATACATAAACACATACACACACATATATATATATATATATATATGTGTGTGTATGTGTTTATGTATATATATATATCTATATATATATAGTTACAATTATTTTTTTAAAGTCCCTGTTGATGGTGATTGGGGAAGCTGGGGTCAATGGTCAAGCTGTTCAGTGCAATGTGGAACTGGTCAAATATCTAGAACGAGACTGTGTGACAATCCTAAGCCGGAAAATGACGGTTTGAGCTGTCAAGGAGAGGAAAGTGAGACTGAACAATGTGAAACAGAATGTAAAGGTCAGTATTAAAAGACTAACTACAGATTTGCGAGTACAGGGAGTCACCTTGTACTATTTAATCATGGAAAGGCAACGATTCGAAACACTCAAATCAAGCTTTATTTCTATTAGAGACTTTGCATCAATTTGTAAATATTTATATATATATATATATATATATATATATATATATATATATATATATATATATATATATTGTAAATGTATATGTTTATATTTACACATACAAGCAGATTAACAACATGGAATGACAATATTTAGAAGAAGATGTTTATGATTATCAATATTTAAACCATGACTGACGGTAGAAAAAAGTCATCCTTGGTTAAAATGGTTGTGTGGAATATTATAATACATGCTTAGTCCGTCATGTTAAAGATAAAGTTTAAAAGTTAAAAGGTCTTATACTGAGGTAATATTATAATACAATATAACGTTAAAACAGGTGATAACAACTGTCTCTAAGTAATAGGCCTACAATTTCAACACGAACAGAATATAATGTATTTTTCATAATATAAACTTTGCAAAGTGTCCGACCACCCTCCCCACTACCAGCGGAGAAAAAAACGTCTGAAAGAAACACTGAGTGGTATGTTACGGAGGTGATGGTCAGGAGGCCGTGTGTCAAGAGGGGTGGAGTAGAGTTGAGTTGAACATGATGACAGTGGCTTATGTGGTGTAGTGCATCTTATACAATATTTGGCTTAGTTCGTCTGTCTGAATGAAACTCTACATACATAATCTAATAAGCTAAATCAGCGTGTTTTCAATGGTACAACTGAATTACTGGTACTCTAATTTGATGAAATATGTGTACATGTATTTCCAGAGTAATATTTACCTATTTCACTACAAAGTATATCCAAACTCATTTCGGGAGAGAAATAATTGAAACGAGCCGACCCGCGGCGTATCATACGCCGTTATTTAGTTGTTTTATTTTCTAGTTTTCAGTAATTCATAATTTGTGAATTCAACAGTACCAATGCTGCCACTGAAAATATTTGCTTTAAAACACTATCAGTAGGTCGTTAAGGACGATACTACCCTCACCCTCCTTTCCCCCAACCCCTACCCTACACTCCCCCCCCCCGTGAAAGCAGCCTTCTCTTAGTTACCTCCCCTAAGTTTAAAATCGTTTCAAACTAAATTATCTGCCTCTAGTAACCGTCACTAAACCCGGCTCTACGATGGTAAACATTTAGCGTGAACCAAAGCTCACCAGACATTTTAGGGGTGGGGTGGTAGTGGGCGCGCTTACAGTTTATTTTCTAGCGTCTCCAAGAAGAGAATTATATATATATATATATAAGTAATCGTGTTTTAAAAATTGTTTGTAACGCATTTCATGTTTGCCGAAAAATGGTCAAAAGAAATTTTGAAATCGCACATTGAACGAGTCAGTAAAAAGTAAGCATAAATGAACAAGGAAGCTTGGCTTGTGAAAAGGGTTCTTGCATTCTGTTTATTTTTTTAAGAATTTTAAATATTATCAATGTTTGATACATTCAGAGTTTTTTCCATGCATATTTTCGGGAAGAAAGTCTACCGCCCCCCCCCCCCCCGAACGAAATGGAATTTAAATAGAAAATTTATACTTTAACAGTGTCCGCCCACCTTCCGAAAATTTTAGTCCGCCCCCCCCCCCTTTTTTTATAACTATGCCATTCTGTAGTATGTCTTATTTGAATTATAATTAAGTAAAGCAATTGCTTTTTAATTTGCTATTTCAAAACCATTTAAAGGTGCTTTATGGGCACCTAATTAGACTATTTAAAGAAGAGCAGTAAGTCATAGAAGTAGTGTGAACGTTTGCCTATCTTTCACACTGTAGATTTTAAAAACTCTTTACTACTCAAAAGTGCGTGTTAGTTACTGTAGAACAATCACTGCTATAATAGACCCGTTTGTCTTTTACAAAACCACAAAAGCGGTGCACAAAAAAAAAACATTTATTATGAAAAAACGCTAAACGGCGACATGGTATTTCTGCACTTGAGGTATCGGTAGATTGCTATGGAGAAAGACAGGGAAGCGTATTGTTATAATGTGTATTTTTTGTCTGGTACGTTGTCTCAGGATGGATATACTGTGTAATAAAATTGGTAAATATTAATCAGTTAGGAAATAGATTAATTTAAGATTTAATGAAGCAGGCTAATAATATATACATTAACATATATTAACCGTTACCTTTACCGGTCGCGGTAACAGTAACGTTTAGCCTTAACCGTCTCTCGCCCCTACAGATACAAACCGCTTCCTAGCGCCATGTTTTATTTTAAATTTGATTCGACATAAACCTTTTCAGATTGCCGATGGGGGCAGTGGACTCAGTGGACGTGTAGTGTATCTTGTGGGGAAGGAGTTGCGACTCGCACGCGATCCATCGCCAGTGCTGCTGTAAATGGTGGTCGACGTTGCTCAGGGCCGAATACCAACACAAGGAGTTGCACAGTTTCACTTTGTCCAGGTATCTGGACCTTTAAAACAACTTGAAATTTATGGGTTAGGGGTTGTAGGCAAAAAAAAAGTCATTGGAACGGGAAAGTTAAAACAATTTTGAAAATGTGAAGTAATTTCTAGAATTCTCATAAGGTAATTTAACTTAAGTTCGAGAACAAAGTTTCAAGTAAATATTTTCATATTACATTCGAATCTATTTATCTACGTAGTTTTTCATTAGCTTCAATTTTAAAAAATGCATAATATAGTTTATCAAGTAGGCATATAGACATAAGTAAAACATAATTAATGTTTTTATTTTTTAATAACATAGTTCATGGCGGCTTTGGTGCTTGGGAAGAGTGGAGTGGTTGTAGCAGTAGCTGTGGAGGGGGTGTGTCAACCAGGCGTCGCAGTTGTGACAACCCTTTCCCTGCCCACGGTGGAAATATGTGCAATGAGACACTTGCAGAGGAAACAAAGCAGTGCAACACACAGGAGTGCCCTGGTGTGTATAAGATTTTTAAAAATACATTTTAGAAATACAGTTTATATAGGCTTTTGAATTTGTATTTATTAATAAACATACAGCACGCTTACACAATCATGCATATATTAACAGTGATATACAGTCCTACACAATCATTCGCAATATATATATATATATATATATATATATATATATATATATATATATATATATATATATATATATATATATATATACATATATATATATATATATATATATATATATATATATATATATATATATATGTATATATATATATATATATATATATATATATATATATATATATATATATATATATATATATATATATATATATATATATACACTATATATACTTTGGAACACCCCAAAAAATTGCAGTTTGTAAGCTACCAGATCTTCGAGAGGGTCAGACAAAATGGAACTGTTCTACAGACGAGGCTGGCCTGCAGACGTGTAATATTGTATGCTCCCCCGGGCTTGTCCTGATGCCGACAACCTACAACATATTCCAGTGTGGACCAGTCACCAACTACACCTGGTCGCAACAAACACCAGATAATCCTGTTGGTTTAACGCCATCATGCTCAGGTAGATAATCTTTTACCATAAGCTTCTACTTAAAGATTTGTAAAATGTATTTTACCTTTCAATCGTAATATTAGTAATCATAATATAAAATAAATAATAATAATAATTAAAATAAAAGTAATCATATTTTTTTTAATTAAAAATTTAAAGTAATGTAACAGACTGTATTTTTGGGTATGATTTATTATATTGTATTTAACATGAAGTTGAATGAAAGTAGAGCACCTGGCCAACGGAAGGACAGTCTGAGAGACTCGTCATGTTTTCCATTTTTTTTTGTTCGATCGCACATTGGCGTTAGGGGAGAGAGTGTAGGGTATAAAAGGGGAGCGGCAAGGTGGACTAAGGTTGCTTGTATAGAAGAATGTTGTAAGCTGTCACCACGTCACTCTGTCTCTGGACTTTATTTTAATTGCTGTTTTTTCACTATGGATTGTCATTATTAATTGCTATGGATTTATTTTATTAATGTGAATAAATTTTTAAGTTGAAAGAACTGTCGTTCGTATTCATTGAAGAACTCACAATAACACCGTATTGTCTCATCTACAAATACGCGTTGTTACAAGTAACTTACGTTGTTTTGATTTCGTTACTTTGCAGATCAGAAAACTCCCGAGTCAATATCTAGTGTGATTACAACAACATTTGATGTGGATTGTAGCCAAGAGTCATTGACTCTTGGTATACGTAATCATGTACATGAACAACTAACACGTGATGAGTGTTTCAGCAAAAACAACTGTTTTCATACAGTCGACACACATTCATCTTGTAGAACAAGCAGAAAGAGATCTATAGGTACTCTCTCTCACTCTATCTCTCTGTCTCTCTCTATTTTTTTTTATTATATATGTATATATATATATGTATATATATATATATATATATATATATATATATTTATTTATTTATTTATTTATTTATTTATTTATTTATTTATAAAGGCCTATATATAATCGGTTATAATTATTACAATGTGTGCCAATATGATAATCATTTAGGTACTATGGTACTGAACGTCAGCCTAAATTCAGTTGGTAATGATACTGATTCAGCGTATTTCGGAGGCCTAAAAGGTAATTTCACCTTTGAAATGAACTTCTTCATTCAAGTTATTACATTACTTAATGTAACTCCACTTTTTTGAGTAGTTGACGGGTACAAAATATTTTTCAAAATATATTCTATAGAGGAAGATATAGCAGCCCAAAGAATGAAAGTTCTAAGTTTTGAAAAAGTTGTCGAAGATATCTTTACAAAGAATGAGACTATTTTCACGGCCACAGTGGATGGTGTGACGTATAGGGGCCAAATACAAAGCGTGGAGGCGAGGTTCATCTGCCAGCCGGGGTCAGGATTTGTTGGCGGGATGTGTGGTAGGCTTTTAATAGACGGTTGAATATTGCTTGATTAAAATGCAGTTTGTTTTTGTTTACTTTGAGTAAAACTCTACGTTTAAAACTTTCTGGCTTGTCTGTAAAAAATGCTTATTTTGATCAAGTCGTTTCACATATAAAAAGGATTTTATAGATGTGCATATATATATATATATATATATATATATATATATATATATATATATATATATATATATATATATATATATATATATTTAAGGCGTATATATAGAGAGAAAGTTATACATATGTATATATAGAGAGAGATAGATAGATAGATGTACTCCCTTTCCTCTAGTCGATTGTCCAGCTGGAACCTACTCACCTGGAAATGGGTCATGCTTATATTGTGAAAAGGGATTTTACCAAGATAAAGCTAATTCCGCAGTTTGCAAAAAGTGTCCTACAGGTAAAGTATATATGCAAGTTTTGTCTTAGTTTAATAGTTTCTGCATACAACTATATTCATTAAAATAAATAAACAGGATGAAAAGGTTTTGTCATGGTATGTTAATAATTTAGTACTAGTGATGTCTCCAAACTCTTACAATTCTTATTTCAACCGACTATTTATAATCAGACCATTCTTATAAGTTGTTTTGATACAATAAGAACATTTAGCACAGTGCGTTAGATGATGTAGTGGCTTAGTATACTGCGAATCAGAATTACACTTTAGTTTTTAGACCTAGAAATAAATTCTATCACACATTAGTCACGATTTCGAAAAGTTCACATGAGCACTGATCTCGAATAACGCAAAGGATTATCAATGAACAATAAATGGATTTTAAACCAAGCTAAATTTATATTAGGAATATTAAATGTATGACCTTAGATATAACTATATTTTATATTATTTGGTTTGCAAATGAAATCCAGGCACAACTACTTCAGGAAGGGGATCTTATTCTTTAAACCACTGTACTACAAACCCTTTGACGTATTTGGATGTTTACCCTTACCAATTCTATCCTTCCCCAAATAAAGAGACGCCGAACAAACAGCACCCAAATCATAAGGATGATGGTAAAATATTATTCCTCCTGTAGTCTAGTACCGAATGCTTAATTGATTTATTCTTCTGTAGTGTCTGTAATGATTATTTAATTTTTCTAAACAGTAATAATGTATGGTGTGATTTCATGTAGCGGGAGTTAAATTTTAATCCATTCAAGTTCAGTTCTATAATGAACGTTACCATGTTACAGGCGTGAGTACAACAATCGTTATTGCTGCTGTCACCAGCAGTGTGACATTCCTGCTTATGCTGGGTGTTGTTGTTTTCATCCTAATCAAAAAGTAGGTAGCACTAAAATCTTACAGTATCCACCTTTGATTCTTAAAGTGCTTGCACGTCTTGCAAACCCGTATAAAACATAATACACATAAAAGCAATTATATATATATATATATATATATATATATATATATATATATATATATATATATATATATATATATATATATATATATATATATATATCTTTTCAGATATGGCCAGTCTATCTCCAAAACAGCTCCTGAAGGTTATATAGACCTACATGTTTCATCGGTCGAAGGAACGAAATGAAATCTCCAATTTTATTTATTTAATCAACTTCAAAGTTATAAACTTTACATTTCACTTTTTTTTTAACTTTATTTTCTTATTTAATGTTTGTTATAGTTAATATTTTGTAACCTTCATCATATACTATTTTTTTGTTTAATGGTATGGTATCGTTAAATACGCTAGATATTCTCTGAATATTACAACACATTGAGGAGTGTTGGAGTTTATTTAGATCTGTTAAGAAAATGTAAGTTATTCTTCCATTGAATTTCAAAATATTACACAGTGAAAAATTAATATATAACAGTAAAATATATTTTTACATAATAATTGTAACAATAATTAGAAATCAGTATTGATAGCAAAAACAAAATAGTAAAAAAATTAATTGATAGTAAATAAATTACCCATTTCTTTTTTAACTTTTTAAAAAAAATATTCAACTTATACGAAAGGCTATTTTAAAATACACTAGCAGTATGTTAACGGTTTTTAGATGATTTTAATTAGTAACTGATGAGCACAGCCTACATTTTAGTCTAGATTTTATGACGAGTTATGCATTAATGAACGTGCATTATGTAGGTAATTTTAATGGTGAATAGGTGACTGACAATTCTAGACATTAGAAAACCTCTAGAAAAAAAAACGTTTTAATCAGAATAGGAAATTTTTTTAAACTTATTAGTATTACAATCAATTTTTACTAGATATTGAGCTTGTTTCTTGTATTTCTTTTTATTCCCCCGATAATTGTTGTCTAATCTCCAAATAAAAGATTTTATAAATTTTTAGACATTTTTGAAAATACTACGGTTTAGTTTTTATGGCTTGAAACGTATGTTAAAAATGGTTCGTTGACTATTTATTGGATTTATTTCGGACATTTTAAAATTTTAAAATTAAGCTACTTAACACAAGTCTATAGATTGGGTTGTTTGATAACGTTTATACCTTTTAAAACGCTTATTAATTAAATAAAACTACCGTTGATTAACTATTCTCACAGCCATCCAAAAAAAAGTTGAGACCAATGTTCTATTACGTAAAGATGACGCAAAAATATATTCTTTCCTTTTGATATATGTGTTGATCTGTAGTAAATTAAAGCCTGTTATAAAGGAGTTGATGAGTTCTGTTCTTACTTTGACATTTTGTATCTGCTTAATATCTAGATCTATATAATAATTGTTACTGATATATGCAAATAATATCTTGTGATGATATAAAAACATCACAATCGATTGGAGCTAGACAATCCACAGAGATGCGTTGGTCATACCTAGGTCAAACAATCAGAATACAAGATGACCAGGAGCTGAGAGTCAGGTGGTCAGTCAGGTGATCAGAGTCAGGTGGTCAGTCAGGTGGTCAGTCAAGTGGTCAGTCAGGTGGTCAGTCAGGTGGTCAGTCAGGTGGTCAGTCAGGTGGTAAGTAAGGTGGTCAGTCAGGTGGTCAGTCAGGTGGTCAGAGACAGGTGGTCAGTCAGGTGGTCAGTCTGGTGGTCAGTCAGGTGGTCAGAGACAGGTGGTCAGTCAGGTGGTCAGTCAGGTGGTCAGTCAGGTGGTCAGAGACAGGTGGTCAGTCAGGTGGTCAGTCAGGTGGTCAGAGACAGGTGGTCAGTCAGGTGGTCAGAGACAGGTGGTCAGTCAAGTTGTCAGTCAGGTGGTCAGTCAGGTGGTCAGTCAGGTGGTCAGTCAGTTGGTCAGTCAGGTGGTCAGTCAGGTGGTCAGTCAGGTGGTCAGTCAGGTGGTCAGTCAGGTGGTCAGTCTGGTGGTCAGTCAGGTGGTCAGTCAGGTGGTCAGTCAGGTGGTCAGTCAGGTGGTCAGTCAGGTGGTCAGTCAGGTGGTCAGAGACAGGTGGTCAGTCAAGAGGTCAGTCAGGTGGTCAGTCAGGTGGTCAGTCAGGTGGTCAGTCAGGTGGTCAGTCAGGTGGTCAGAGACAGGTGGTCAGTCAGGTGGTCAGTCAGGTGGTAAGTCAGGTGGTCAGTCAGGTGGTCAGTCAGGTGGTCAGTCAGGTGGTCAGTCAGGTGGTCAGAGACAGGTGGTCAGTCAGGTGATCAGTCAGGTGGTCAGTCAGGTCGTCAGTCAGGTGGTCAGAGACAGGTGGTCAGAGACAGGTGGTCAGTCAAGAGGTCAGTCCGGTGGTCAGTCAGGTGGTCAGTCAGGTGGTCAGTCAGGTGGTCAGTCAGGTGGTCAGGGACAGGTGGTCAGTCAGGTGGTCAGTCAGGTGGTCAGTCAGGTTGTCAGTCAGGTGGTCAGAGACAGGTGGTCAGTCAAGTGGTCAGTCAGGTGGCCAGAGACAGGTGATCAGTCAGGTGGTCAGCCAGGTGGTCAGTCAGGTGGTCAGTCAGGTGGTCAGTCAGGTGGCCAGAGACAGGCAATCAGTCAGGTGGTCAGTCAGGTGGTCAGTCAGGTGGTCAGTCAAGTGGTCAGTCAGGTGGCCAGAGACAGGCGATCAGTCAGGTGGTCAGTCAGGTGGTCAGTCAGGTGGTCAGTCAGGTGGTCAGAGACAGGTGGGCAGTCAGGTGGTCAGTCAGGTGGTCAGAGACAGGCGATCAGTCAGGTGGTCAGTCACGTGATCAGAGACAGGTGGTCAGTCAGGTGGTCAGTCAGGTGGTCAGAGACAGGCGATCAGTCAGGTGGTCAGTCAGGTGGTCAGTCAGGTGCTCAGAGACAGGTGGTCAGTCAAGTGGTCAGTCAGGTGATCAGAGACAGGTGGTCATTCAGGTGGTCAGACAGGTGGTCAGTCAGGTGGTCAAGGACTGGCGATCAGTCAGGTGGTCAGTCAGGTGGTCAGTCAGGTGGTCAGTCAGGTGGTCAGTCAGGTGGTCAGTCAGGTGGTCAAGGACTGGCGATTAGTCAGGTGGTCAGTCAGGTAATCAGTCAGGTGGTCAGTCAGGTGGTCAGTCAGGTGGTCAGTCAGGTGGTTAGTCAGGTGGTCAGTCAGGTGATCAGTGAGGTGGTCAGTCAAGTGGTCAGTCAGGTGATCAGAGACAGGTGATCAGTCAGGTGGTCAGTCAGGTGGTCAGTCAGGTGGTCAGTCAGGTGGTCAGAGACAGTGGTCAGTCAAGTGGTCAGTCAGGTGGTCAGAGACAGGTGGTCAGTCAGGTGGTCAGTCAAGTGGTCAGTCAGGTGGTCAGTCAGGTGGTCAGTCAGGTGGTCAGAGACAGGTGGTCAGTCAAGTGGTCAGTCAGGTGGTCAGAGACAGGTGGTCAGTCCAGTGGTCATTCAGGTGGTCATTCAGGTGGTCAGTCACGTGGTCAGAGTCAGATGGTCATACAGGTGGTCAGAGTCAGGTTGTCAGTCAGGTGGTCAAGGCGTGTGAAAGTTTTATAACGTCAGCATTCAGGCAGTAGACAGAAAACTGTCGAAGATGAAGTGGTCAGTTTAATGATGTTATGTTATAGAGCCAGATCTAGGATATGTAATATGGGGTCGTCCATAAATGACGACATACGCCTTGGCGGGAGAGGGGGTTCAGACTTTTGTGACGATGTGTGACGAGAGGGAGGGGGGGTAGAGACAGTGTGACGTCACGTTGTCTAAAAGTGCTGACAACACCTTCTCTTTATAAGTCGATGTCAAGAAACACATGAACTCTACTTCATTTGCCAGATAGATCGTTGTAGAAATGATTCTTTAATTGTTTAATTAATACATTTTAGCGGCTAAATATGTCATCTAACTGTAACTCCCTTCTAGTGATGATTGAACATGGTCGGATATGTAGGTCTAGACGAGCTTTGTTGGTCTGAAAGGCTGAGGTTGGTTGTTGGCTCACAATAAACTTTTCAAGTTTACGAAGTGTCAATCAAAACGTGTGGATCTGGAGATATTATCTAAATAATTTAATCTATTTTTATCACGACAGTCTTAGGCACGGTCGTTTTTTTTAGATTTATTATTGACATATTTTTTATGACATCTTTTATCTTATTTTAACTGTTGAACAAATGTGTTGAACATGAGGTCATACCTGCCTCTGTTGAAAATAGTTGTCTGTATGTATGTGGTTAAACGGATATTTTAATAAATATGATTGGTTTAATAATTACAATTTTATTAATTTAAAATTTAAATTTTAAGCATTTTGTAATTGTGTTGCTATCAAAGTCTATAAAGTTGATAGAATATGGTAGCTACTATCTCGTGTACATATATAGGCTATTGAGAGATATTTTAGTGTCTGCAATAGAAAGATGACTTTGTCTGAAGGAACTCTGTGATTGAATTCAATGGAGGTCATTGATTTTAAATATTTCTTTCAAATTTGAAATTCTAGAAAATAGCTAACATATAAAGACACACACACCTTTATAAGAAAAACAAAATTATATTTTAAAAATTATTTATTGAATTATTTTCCAAATAAATATGTACAATTATTTACATTATTTACAAAGATAAAGTTTAGATAACAGCTTAATGTTGAAAGCACAATTTTAAAAAATACAATATCCTAATTTATAAAAGGCCATGTGCGCTCTTCTCTCTCTCTCTCTCTTTCTCTGTCCGCAAAAAATTTTCGCCGGACATCACGTCAGAATCGGCAGCGGTATATGGAGAACTTTTTACGGACTTTTGTTGAAAATAATATGTTAGATGTTATAAATGTATAACCACAATTTTACTTAAAGAAGAAAAATAAAAATTAAAGCCGTATTCGAATGTAGAGAAACAGTATTATTTATGCAACCGGAAAAGCATTAATATATGTGAAAAAGAACGCATAAAACTGTGACGTCACTATTGCTTATACATTAACTAATGACGTCATCTGCCGTGTTAAGAATGAAAAGAAATGAACTATTTCATTCAAATTTGATTTAGATCTACGTACACTATGAAATGTATACAATACAATTTTTCCGGCCTAAACTCATAAAATTTATTTTATGTATTTGGATTCTAGATCTAGAGATTCTAGATCTAGACTAAATCTAAATCTAAATCTACGCAATAACTAGATCTAGACGTAGACGCTAAGATCTAGATTTAGACTCTAACTTCTCTAAAATCAATTCCAAAAATAAATTTCTATATTAGGACTAAACTATTTCAAGACTTATTTATTTTATACAAAATCTTTGTTTGGAACTGGCTAATTTGGGATAAAAAATTAATTTGAAAGAATAGGCATATTCGCGTAAGTTAAGATTTTAAAATACGTGTTTCATTCTCCGTATTTTATAAGGTGCCTAAATAGCGGAGATGTTAGTGTACATTAAACCACGCAGGTGGTGCGGGTTCGAGACACAGCAAGTCAACTTGGTTAATGTATTCTTTTTTATTATGCTCGGGCTAAACTTAAAAAAAAATTCTTTTAGGAATCTAGATCTAGATCTAGATTGTCGGGTGTCCGATAGGGCACTTCCCGGCGCCGCAGGCGCTTCAAATTTGGCATGATCTTGCCT